TTCGATGGGCTGAATTGCACAAAACGCATGACCGCACCGGCTATTCTGGTGCGCGTTGCTATTTATTGCACATTGTGTATGTGCGTGTACGGTATTTTAACTCGGCAGCGAAATAAGCTTCGACGCTAAAATTTTGGCAGTGGGTTCCTTTGCCGAGTACCACACCAAGCCTGCGGTGTCAACTCTCATGAACTTCTGGGCCCCGCGTACGAGCGTGTGAAAGTTCTGGCGGGAAAGTCGCAAATTCGGGAACCAGTAGAAAGCTGAATTTTCACAGGATATTTCTCATTTAAACGGAACTCAAAGATTTCAAATTCAGCCCTCCAGATGCGCGTGGTTCTCACATGCGGCCCCGTGAAAGTTTCCGATGAGAAAATCATTAATTTGGGAATCAGGAAAGCTGGGAGGTTGAAATTTTATGGGGATGTTCCCAGCCCACGTACAACTCAAAGATTTCAAATTCAACCCCAGTCATGCGTGTTTCTTACGTACGGTCTGCAAAAATTTTTGGCGAGAAAATTGCTGATTTGGGAACAAGAAAAGCTAGAGAGCTGAAATTTTGTGGGGCTGTTCCTTGACCACGTACTACGCAGTTGCACAATTAACTTCCTGAACTTCGAGGACACCAGTATGGCACACTGTTCGGACTCCAAGCGATATTGCTGCAGTACGAAATGCTGTAAAAACGCATGATCGTACGGGGTGCCGGGCCAGTGCGCGTCGCCAATGATTTACTTATACTTTCAAAAATTTTTGATAATACGTGCTTCTAGGGAAGATCTAATCATAAGGGCTGGCCTTTTTTATGCGTTTTGTGCTATGTAACAGCAGTACAAAACGCATATTGTCACTGGGTTGTCTGTGTGTGTGTGTGTTTGTGTGTGTCCCCGCAGTTGTCCGCAACTTTCAACTCGAGAACCACAAAAGCTAGGAAGCTGAAAATTTAGGGTAATGTTCCCCACCCACGTGTGACTGTCCGCAACTTTCAACTCGGGAACCACAAAAGCTAGGAAGCTGAAAATTTAGGGTAACGTTCCCCACCGCAACTTTCAACTCGGGAGATTGTTACGGGGTTGTCTGTGTGTGTGTGTCCGCAGCAACTTGTCCGCAACTTTCAACTCGGAAACCACTGTTTGTGTGTGTGTGTGTGTGTGTGCCCGCAGCAACTTGTCCGCAACTTTCAACTCGGGAACCACAAGGCTGAAAATTTAGGGGAACGTTACCCACCCACGTGTGACCCCGCAAATTTAAATTCAGCTCCCCCGTAAAAATTTAGGGTAACGTTCCCCACCCACGTGTGACCCCGCAAATTTAAATTCAGCTTCCCCGTACCTGCGGGAAATTTAGGGGAACGTTCCCCACCCACGTGTGACCTCGCAAATTTAAATTCAGCTTCCCCGTACCCGCGGGCAACGCCTACGGCCCCGTGAAAGTTTTTTACGGGCAAGTTAATATCTCGGGAACCACGAGGCCTAGGAGGCTGAAATTTTAGGGTAACGCCCCCTGCCCACACTCAACCTTGGCTATTCAAGTTTAGCGTTTCGCGCTCTTGAGTATCACCTACGACCTCGTGAGAATTTTGGCGGGTAAACTATTAACTCGGGAATCACGGAAAGATATTCACCTTTCAAGTTCTCGAATTCAGCTTTCATGCGCTGCTGCGTGAAATTTTTAACTGTTTTCCAATATTTGAACTATTTTTGCATAGACTGAAGTACAAAGCAG